AAGTGGGATGTGTTTTCTGGGGTGGGGTGGGGTGGGGGTGGGGGTGGGGTGGGGTGGGGTGGGGGTGGGGGTGGCCCGCCCAAGGCAGGCTATGGGGAGTGCCTGCCCCACATTGGGCAGCCTATTTTAGCTACTTCCCTAGAGCTGAGTCACGGTGCTTCTGAAGACCCTTCCCAAAGCCACAATGCCCTGTGGCCTCCCAAACCATAGCTGCCCCCAGGACCGGCCCAGGCCTCTGGCAGGACTCCCACCACCTGCTTTCTCTTAAACTCCATGATCCAGCTGCTCACCTCCAAATTGTTCTCTGTTAGAAGCTCAGAGTGATTCAAGATCACTCAAGGCTGGTGAAACCAAGCTCTTGCTGACCCTTAGTCCTGCTACGTGGCCTGTCTAGTCTGAGCTCCAGACACCTAGACCTCATCCCCAGCGTGGACTGCCAGGCACTGCAGCCCCCTCCTCGCTGGGGCAGTGGGATGGATGCGTGACTCCCTCTACTCTCAGGCCCTAACTCTCTCAGGACCCTTCCTTGCTGGGTATTGAAGATGGCTTTCTACAAGCCACCAAGTCTCGTTCCCACCACCGCAGGAAGCGAGACCATGGCAGCAGACAGCACTGGGTAGACCTGTCCCTGTCTTTCTGGGGTGTGGGGTTGAACAGGATCCTGGGGACCCCAGGGCTAGCCCAGGATGGCCGTGATTTCAGCTGAGTTTCCCTGCTGTCCCCTCTGACCTACCTCTATAGTTCTACCTGCAAGGATGTGCTCTGGGGTGTGGCTAATGGGATGCGGGGAGCTGCCCTCCCCTGTAGCCATCATGGCCAGGATATTTGGTCCCTTTTGGGCAGCCACAGTGACCTGCAGCTTCTCTGGCGAGTCCTGGGGAGACGGGTCTGTGGTTTTCCTTTCTTTCCTCTCTAATGAGCGTATAAGGTCGGGAAACCACAGGACCTGACATCACTCACAGGGTCTGGGGATTCCCGCTGTGGTGTTGAAACCCTTACACAGCTCTGGAGGCTCATGCCACCGTGTTCCCACCCAGTTCTGACCATCCGCGCCCCTCCCTGCTTCTCTGTCTTTGTTGTTTACCTGGTGAGCATACCTGCTCTGTCTTCACCTGTGTGTTCTCACTCAAGGCTGCTGTTTCTCAACTGGGGCAGTTTTGCCTCCCAGGGCATCTTGAGACAGTTTTGCTTGTTGTGACTGTGGAATGAATGCTACTGGCATCTAGTGGGCAGAGACCAGGGACGCTGCTGAATGATCTACAGTGCACGGGGCAGTCCCACCTCCCAGTGAGAAATCAGCTGGCTTGAATATCCACAGTGTGGAATCTGCTCTAGGGTTACACAAGAACCTTCCTGAAGTAGCAGTTGGGACCCCCTTCTCTGCACCCTGCCAGCCAGCAGTGGGGAGGAGCACTCAGTGGCCGGTGGTCACTGACCAGCAATGCTGCCGCCAGAGCTGGAGGAGGGCCTGGAGTGGGGGTGGAGAGAGCTCTGGACTCAAAGACCCAGTTTCTAGCCCAGCTCTCTTCCTTTGGGCTAAAAACTTGGACAAATCACTTTCCTTCAATAAACCCATTTCCTCATCCATAAAGTGAAAGCGCTGCACTGAATATCCCCTCCAGTTATTTGAGATTCCTGGATGCTGTGCATAGAGCCAGGAGCTGGGGGGCAGGCAGGTGGAAGATAGGGGTCTTCTCCGTTCCTGACTGGTGCCTGTGCTGGTGGCAGTAGAAGCCTAAAGGATTTGCCAGGAACGAGAGTTCGTTTGAAGCCTGGCCTTTTTTCCTTCGATGCCCAACGTGACTGAGGCAGACTCTACCTTCTCTTTCTTTTTCTTTTCTTTTCCTTTCTTCTCTTTTCTTCTCCCTCCCTCCCTCCCTCATTTCCTTCCTGTTTCCTTCAGAGTTTTGCCTAGGAGCCCATGGCTGGCCAGGAGGGTCATATATGATATTCAGGGGTCAGCAAACTACAGTCCACGGCCCAAACCCAGCCTGCATTTGCTTTTGCAAATAAAGATGAGGCTTTTTGGTGGTTTTTTCTTTTACTGGTTTATTACAAAGGATACAACTCAGGAACAGCCAAACGGAAGAGCTGCATGAGGATGCATGGGGTCAGGTGGTGGGGTGGGGCGGGCAGGGCACACGTCACCTTCCCGGCACCTTGATCTGCTCACCAACCCAGAAGTTCTCTGTAAATAAAATGTTTTTGGAATGCAGCCATGCCTACTTGTTTACATGTTGCTACGGCTCCTTTCTTTTTTTAATTTTGTGTAGAGATGGGGTCTCACTGTGTTGCCCAGGCTGGTCTGGAACTCCTGGGCTCAACTGATCCTCCTGCCATAGCCTCCCAAAGTGCTGGGATTATAGTTGTGGCCCACCGTGCCTGGCCAACGGCTACTTTTATACTAAGAAGACAGAGTTGAGTAGCTGTGACCAAAACCCTATCAGCCACAAGGCCGAGAATATTTACTCTCTGGCCCTTTGCAAAAAGTGTTTGCTGACCCTTGGTCTAGCGGTTCAATGTCTAATTGTTTCGAGGCTGAGGTAGAGCAGGAGGGTGGGGCCCAGAGACAATCCAGGTTAGAGTTAGGGGAAGGTCACTTTCCTAAGGGTGGGGAGGAGAGAGAGCTGGCCTATGACCAAGAGTAGAGCATCATTTCAAGGCATTCCTGACGTCCTCGCCCACGTCACTGTGTGGCAAGTCTGCCAGGTGCCTAGCTCTCCCTCCCTGCCTGAGAGAACTTTGTGTTTGCTGGAATGATAAGCAGTATGGCCTGGGCGTTGGGAGGGGGGACATTGCTGGTGGGGGAAGCCATGAGGCTGGGCAGCAGAGGCTTGAGAGAACAGGGAAGCGGATGAGGACGCAGAGAGGTCAGGCTGGGAGCCCTGGAGCCAGGCTGTGGGCAGAAGGGGGGAGGACAGGAGGGAGGTGCTGGACTTCCAGTGGGTGCTTGGAGGCCAACCGTGTGGCACACCCTGCTAGACCGGACTTGGTGGCAAACAGATCCGTTAAAACCCTCTGGATGGACCGGGCGCAGTGGCTCACGCTGATCCCAGCACTTTGGGAGGCCAAGGCAGGTGGATCACCTGAGGTCGGGAGCTTGAGACCAGCCTGACCAGCATGGTGAAACTCCATATCTACTAAAATTACCAAAAAAATTAGCTGGACGTGGTGGTGGTGGGCACCTGTAAATCCCAGCTACTCGGGAGGCTGAGGCAAGAGAATCGCTAGAACCCGGGAGGCAGAAGTTGCAGTGAGCCGAGATGGCGCCATTACACTCGAGCCTGGGGGACAGGGCGAGACTCCGTCTCAAAAAAAAGAAAAGAAAAAAAAAACACCACCCTGGAAGCTCGTACTGCAGTGGGAAGGTGAGAGTCCAGCCAGCAGGGGTAGAAGGATGTAGTCGGTGTCTGCTGGGAGAGGGGACGGCTCCCAAAGTGCCGTAGGGGGCAGGTGGTGGCTAAAGGTTTCCTGGGAGCAGTGATGTGTCCCAGCTGAGCCCTGAAGGATGCTGGGTGTGGCAGGGGTTGCATCAGGGAACTGTTTGTATCCACTCCAGCTCAGGGGATAGAGCAGGGTACAAAAGTAGGGGACACTGAGGAGCGAGGTGGAGACTGGTCATTGGATCAAGGGGTGTGCACTGGGTAGGGCCTCATGTGGATGGGTTTTGTTTGAGCCGAGAGGTGAAGGATGGACAGGCGGGAGACAAACAGGGAGACCTGTTAGGCTGATGTCAGGGGCCAGGTGGGGTGTGGTGGGCTGGTGTGGTGGGCTCGTGTGGTGCAGTGGCAGGCATGCGGAGGAAGCACCCGCCGTCTTGAGTTTTGCAGTGGAAAGAGTGGCTCTGGACTGGGGGTGCCTCTCAGAACTGTGCTGCTGGCTGGACTGGGAGAGAGGCAGGTACCTGGTGTCCAAGCAACACCTCTCACCCACCATACTTTGTTAAATCCCAGCACTCATCTCTCCCCATCCTGCCTAGCTCTGCTGGGCTTAGTATTTGGGGCAAGTCCCTCTAGGGGAGAGAGGGGCTGGTTTGGCCCCAGTGCTGAACTTCAACTTGGCCCTTGCCAGGAGCTGTGAGAGTGGTGCCTCCGGGCTCCTGGGCTCTACCTCTGCTGTTTTTTTGGATTTCTGGTGCATCACCTAGGAATCAGTCTGCAGATCCTGGGTTCACCAAGTCATTTAGGGTCTAGTCCCTGCCTCCCACTCCCCTAATGATGAAAGAAACTGGAAGTTCCCCAATCTTGATCTCCCCGAGACACCAGAAGGTGGACCCTCAGCAAAGAGCCTGGGGCCCCACAGTGGAGATGTCACAGGCAGGATCCTCATCTATGGGATCCCAAGAGAAGGCTGAAAGGCTGGGGAGCTGGTTCTGTGGGTCCCAGCAGCCCCACCCCAATTCTGATTCAGAAAGAGGATTGTGCCGCCCACGCAGGTGGAGGTCTCTCTGTGGTCAGCCTGTCTCCCTGGGCCCATCCTGTCTGTTCTCTTCTCTCTCTGAGGACCAGGACTCGGTGGGGTGTCCACTAACTCCACAGGGGTCGAGGTTAGACAGCAGGAGGCACTTACAGCACATCTCCAGGCTGACTGTTCATAGGAGCCACTTCATAGACTCCATCTCTTCCCTGGCTTGCTGCCCAGAATTGCTGGATTTACCTTCGTGTCCTTAAACGTGGTCGTGTTTGCTCTGGCAGCGTCCTGGCTTGCAGGGCAGGGGAGGCATTGTCTTTTACAAGAAAGCTTCTCTCTCTCTCAAGTTTCAGGGAAAGTGTGTCTGAGGCTACTGGAACTCTCACCAGATTTGCAAAATCACTCCTGTTCTCTGAATGCCTGCGGATGAAGAAACAGGCAGGGCTATACCATTTGATTGCTGGCTTATTTCACAGCATTTCACTTTGGTAGGAGCACTGGGGTTTAAATGACAGTCCCCTGGCAAATAGGCGTTTGTGCTGTGTAACCAGCCCCACATTAATCCTTTGCCTCCCGTTCTCTGCTTGCAGCCTTATGATCTCTTCATTGCGTCCCCCTCTGCCCACTAGACTTGGACTTCAGATCTGACCCCAGACCTGCCGGCTACCTCGGGAGGGCCCACCTCCCCACCCGTCCAGCAAGATGCCGATCCTCAAGCAACTGGTGTCCAGCTCGGTGCACTCCAAGCGCCGTTCCCGAGTGGACCTCACGGCCGAAATGATCAGCGCCCCACTGGGCGACTTCCGCCACACCATGCACGTTGGCCGGGCCGGAGATGCCTTTGGGGACACCTCCTTCCTCAACAGCAAGGCTGGCGAGCCTGACGGCGAGTCCTTGGACGAACAGGCCTCCTCTTCATCTTCCAAACGCAGTCTCCTGTCCAGGAAGTTCCGGGGCAGCAAGCGGTCACAGTCAGTGACCAGGGGGGAGCGGGAGCAGCGCGACATGCTGGGATCCCTGCGGGACTCGGCCCTCTTTGTCAAGAATGCCATGTCCCTGCCCCAGCTCAATGAGAAGGAGGCCGCGGAGAAGGGTACCAGTAAGCTGCCCAAGAGTCTGTCATCCAGCCCCGTGAAGAAGGCCAATGGCGGGGAGGGTGGCGACGAGGAGGCAGGCATGGAGGAGGCCGTGCCCCGTCGGAATGGGGCCGCGGGTCCCCATTCCCCTGACCCCCTCCTCGACGAGCAGGCCTTTGGGGATCTGGCAGATCTGCCTGTCATGCCCAAGGCCACCTATGGGCTGAAGCATGCGGAGTCCATCATGTCCTTCCACATCGACCTGGGGCCCTCCATGCTGGGTGACGTCCTCAGCATCATGGACAAGGAGGAGTGGGACCCCGAGGAGGAGGAGGGTGGTTACCATGGCGATGAGGGCGCCACTGGCACCATCACCCAGGCTCCCCCATACGCTGTGGCGGCCCCTCCCCTGGCGAGGCAGGAAGGCAAGGCCGGCCCAGACTTGCCCTCCCTCCCCTCCCATGCTCTGGAGGACGAGGGGTGGGCAGCAGCGGCCCCCAGCCCCGGCTCCGCCCGCAGCATGGGCAGCCACACCACACGAGACAGCAGCTCCCTCTCCAGCTGCACCTCGGGCGTCCTGGAGGAGCGCAGCCCTGCCTTCCGGGGACCGGACAGGGCCCGGGCTGCTGTCTCGAGACAGCCGGACAAGGAGTTCTCCTTCATGGACGAGGAGGAGGAGGATGAGATCCGCGTGTGAGGCAGGCAGTGGGTGGCCGCCCGGAGCTCTTGTCTGCATCTTCTCCCTGCCCCTACCCCACTATGACCTTTGACCTTGTGGCGTGGCGCAGGGGCAGCCAGGACCCTTGCTTCAAACCACGGACCCTGGACCTTGTAGATGAGGGACACTGGCCTGGCCCTCGGGCATTTGGAGGACGTGGGGGGCTGGCATGGGTGCTGACTGGCTGCCTGACTTCATCATGCTCCCTGCACTCAGGCAGCGTGGGACAAGGGCTGTGTTCTCACAGCAGGAATCGGTTTTCCTCTCTTGGCCTCCCTTTCCTCCACCGTGGCCTCAAATGGATGCCAGATGCCAACCTGAGTTCCTGCCACGTGCAGCCAGCGGGTCAGCCCGGAGGCAGCCTCAGCTCCAGGGCTAAGGACACTCGACTCCCCTTTTCTCTGCTGGTGTTTCTGCTGTGCCCAGCGGTGGCTGCTGGGGAAGCAGCTGCGGCAGGACGGAGATGGTCTTGCCTCTCAGCCCCTCCCTGCTCCACCCCAGCTCCTGCCCTGGAAATCTGGAGCGCCTTGGAGCTGAGCTGGACCAGGGGACCAGCCATGAGCACGTGCACTAAACGCAGCCCTTTCCAGGGGAAGAAGAGCAGGATGGGAAATGGAAGGAAAGCCCCCACACTTCGTGAATTGCAAGAAGGGACCCTTCCAGGATGACACTAGGAACAGGGCTAGGGCACTCACTCAGTCCCTAGGGGCTTGTGTGTTCTTTATTATTATGTATAAATCCTTATAGAGCAATATCAGGATGGTGTTAATAGGTCTGCCTCAGAAGGAGAATCAATCCTTTTAGAAAACCTTTATACTAAACCTCTTCGAAATTCACAGTGGCAATTAGCAGACTGGAGTCTGGGGACAGCCGTGGCAAAGACACCAGCTCAACTTTAGTGCTTCCCAACGTTATTTAGAACGACACGGGGTGGGTGTCTGGTGTGTGTTTTCCCTACCCACCCCCCATAGCTATCAACATCTGAGGAAGGCCAGTGTAGAACATTTTTGGAGAATTATTATTTTTAAAATAATATATCATTCCTATGGGGGGAAGCTTTTTTTTTGACTGAGTTATTCTCTCCCTCCCCTCAACACCCTCAGTACTGACTACTTCCTCTTCCTTTCTCAGGCCTCCCCCCAACGACTTTTGAGGCCAGGGTTGCCAGATTTAGCAAAACCAAAACAGAGTGCTGAGTTAAATGCAAATTTCAGGTAAACAAAAGATAATGTTCTAGCATTAATATGTTCCACGCAATATTTGGAACACTTATGCAAAAAAATGATTTGTTTTTCTGAAATTCAAGTTTCTCTCTGAGTCCTGTAACTCTCCCCGAGGGAATTGAGCAGAAGCTCGGGTGTGAGCCCCGAGGTTGACCGTCAGTTATTTTTCTGTCCTGGGAACAGCCTGACCCACCTCCCTGTCTCCATGTAGCCGGTGTGGGGACGGGGAGAGACAGAACCAACCACAACCAGGGGCGTCCCCACGGCGACTCTGGCCTGGCCTCTCCTCTCTTGCCTGACTCAAGACACTAACTTAGTTCCTGGTTCGGTGCCCTGTTGGTGCTCCTGTTTCTAATAGCTTAGGTCCCACGGTAGGGGAGGAACCGCGGGGGCTGTGCCAGCCCCCGCCAGCTGCCCTCGAATCCTATCCAGGCCAGTTCCAGATTCTTAACTGAATTTTTTCATGATATTGTCAAAACAATGAGGAAACATTAAAAAAAAAAAAAAAAAGCCCCAAAGCATGCCTGGTGCCTGGTGTCCGTCTCTGCTTTTTGGGAAGGCTCTTTCAGGAAGGGGGTGGGGTCTGGACCCAGGTCCTGGGGCTGTCCATGGGGGCCTGAGGTGGCTTCTGTCTCTCAGTCTGTGAGGACCCGCCCTTCCTGTGATGCTGTCTGCCTGGGCAGGCCCCTTCAGAGTTTGGGGACTCAGGTGTCCCCAGCTGCCATCTCTTGGAGGCCCTTGGCACTTGGTCACTTAGCTGTCCTGTGCCTCCGTCTCCTGCTGTGTAAAATGGGTATCCTGCCACTCTTAGAGGGCTGGGGCACAGAAACAGTGACGGGCTTTTTTTTGTGGGGGGTGGGGGGTGGTGGTTTTTTTTTTTTTTTTTTTTTTGGTTATTGGTTTTTTGGTGTTTTTGTGATGGAGTCTCGCTCTGGTCGCCCAGGCTGGAGTGCAGGGGCGCGATCTCAGCTCACTGCAACCTCCGTCTCCTAGGTACAAACGATTCTCCTGCCTCAGGCTCCCGAGTAGCTAGGATTACAGTTGTGTGCCACTATGCCCAGCTAATTTTTGTATTTTTAGTAGAGACAGGGTTTCACCGTGTTTGCCAGGTTGGCCTCAAACTCCTGACCTCAAGTGATCCGCCCGCCTTGGCTTCCCAAAATGCTGGAATTACAGGCGTGAGCCACCGTGGTGATCGTCATGGGCTTTTTATACCATTGTGATTAGGATGAGAGCAACTGTGTTCTCCCCAGCCCCCGGGTGTCCTGGTGCACGGGACTGTCACCACCAGAAAGTGGCTGGCCTGCCTGGGAGCGGGGCTGCCACCTCCTCTTTCCCCTTTTACCATTAAGCCTAGCAAATCAGCTTACAGGTGGCAGGTCCTCAGTTCAACCTCACTTCTCAGGGAAATAGAAGCACCACATCCTCATTTTCCAGATGGAGAAAGGTGACCAGATAAGCCTCGTGGCCGCTTTCTCTAACACCCAGAATTCATTCAGAACTCCTGCCCTTCTCACCCCCACCACTCCTGGGCACATCAAAGCCTTGGGATACGAAGTCGGGGGGTGAGGGTCCAGTGGCCCCTTAACCCACTGCCCTGCCCCTGCCCAACCACCTCCTTCCCTTGAACCATGTTTCCCTCTTTCTGGGCAGCTTCAGAAGGGAGCCCCGGTCTGCGCAGGGCTGCGTCACTGCTTGCCGAAGCCCCCGCTTGCTCTCAGGAAATCTGGGGAAATCTTGGGGATCTCAATGTGGCTAAGTTCCTGGTGGAAACCCTGTCCTCTCCCCTGAGCATCCACAGAGAAATGTGAGTTCCCCACTCATCAGCTCCCTGGGAAGCAATTAGAGGCATAATTAAAAGTCAGGTCCCTCCCTCTGTCCCTAGACAGGCTCGTTCGTGTGGGAGTTATGAGCAGGGACTTCTGGCTGCCCCAAGGGAAGAAGAGAGACGGAGGAGAGCTGAGGCCCATTGGGAGACAGGTCCCTAGGGGCTACAGTCTAGCTCAGGGATGACTGGGGAGAGAAGGTACTGTTCAGGCGAGAGGCCCAGGCAGATGAGGAGGGGCTGTGCCTCCCAGACACCGTGCAACCTCCCAAGAGAGAAATTACTGTACCTACACCGACTAACCAGGGACTCTTAAAGGGCCTGGAGAAGCCAGCCACCCCAAGCCCCAGAATCTGTTTCTTGACTGTTGTTGGAAAAGCTCTGAGCATTCAAGAAGACCCAGGGACCTGGCTTGATTCACAGCTTTAAGGAACATACCTTCTGGCTGGGGTTTCAGTGGACCCAGGAGACAAGGAGGAGATGAGCATGCAGAACCAGCCAAGCCACAGAGCTCAGTCAAGATTTGCTAGGAGCCAGGCGTGGTGGCTCACACCTGTAATCCTAGCACTTTGGGAGGCTGAGGCAGGAGGATCCGTTTAGGCCAAGAATTTGAGATCAACTTGGGTAACAGCGAGACAGCATCTCTACCAAAAAATAATTTTTTTTTTTTTTCGAGACGGAGTCTCACTCTGTCGCCCAGGCTGGAGTGCAGTGGCGTGAGCTCAGCTCACTGCAACCTCCGTCTCCCAGGTTCAAGCAATTCTCCTGCCTCAGCCTCCCAAGTAGCTGGGATTATAGGTACCCACCACCAGGCCCAGCTAATTTTTTGTATTTTTAGTAGAGACGGGGTTTCACTATCTTGGCCAGGCTGGTCTTGAACGCCTGACCTCATGATCCACCCGCCTCAGCCTCCAAAAGTGCTGGGATTACAGCCGTGAGCCACTGCGCCCAGCCAATAAATAAATTTCTTATAAAAGATTTGCTGGGCAGCCTTGGGCCAGTTATTTTCTCGCTCCAATTGGCTTCAGTTTCTCCATCTTTAAAATTAGGCAGTAGCTCAGTTGTTTTCAGCTTTTTACCAGAAGCTTTGTTTGCAATGAGGTCATGCTATTTTAATTGATTTTTTTTTTTTTTTTTTTTTTTGAGAATGGAATCTTGCTCTGTCACCCAGGCTGGAGTGCAGTGGTGTGATCTTGGCTCACTGCAGCCTCCACTTCCCGGGTTCAAGCGATTCTCCTGCCTCAGCCTCCTGGGTAGCTGGGATTACAGGTGCATACCACCACACCCAGCTAATTTTTTTTTTTTTTGTAATTTTAGTAGATACGGGGTTTCATCATGTTGGCCAGGCTGATCTTGAACTCTTGACCAGGTAGTCTACCCGCCTTGGCCTCCCAAAGTGCTGGGATTACAGGCGTGAGCCACCACGCCCGGCCTTTTATAATTGATTGATTATTCATTTATATATTTATTTATGAGATGAAGTCTTATGTTGCCCGGACTGGTCTCAAAATCCTAGCTTCAAGCAATCCTCCCACCTTGGCCTCCTCCCAAAGCTCTGGGATTACTGACATGAGCCACCACACCTGGCCTCAAATGAGGTCATACTTTGAACCTCTGTGGGGGCTGAGCCCGAGCTTCCCTGGGTGGGGTTGAATCTGGGGGATCCTTACTCTTTCCCCGTTGGTCTCTGAGGTTCACCTGAGAAACCCAGGGCCCTGCAGCGCACTTCTTGCCTTAAAGATGTTCTGTGAGCCCTTCTTTCTTTTTTTTGAGACGGAGTACGGAGTCTTCCTCTGTCGCCCAGGCTGGAGTGCAGTGGCCGGATCTCACTGCAAGCTCCACCTCCCGGGTTTACGCCATTCTCCTGCCTCAGCCTCCTGAGTAGCTGGGACTACAGGCGCCCGCCACCTCGCCCGGCTAGTTTTTTGTATTTTTAGTAGAGATGGGGTTTCACCGTGTTAGCCAGGATGGTCTCAATCTCCTGACCTCGTGATCCACCCGTCTCGGCCTCCCAAAGTGCTGGGATTACAGGCTTGAGCCACCGCGCCCGGCCGAGCCCTTCTTTCTAAAGAAGGAAAGAGGAACTACTTCTGGGTAGTAATTTGGTCATTTAAATGCAGATCTCAGCCACCATTTTCCAAAATGGGATGGGACCCAAAGCCTTCTGGCCCGATGGTGTCCTGGCACCAGCCCTACCACCTGCCCCAGCGGGTCCAGAGCATCTCCCTCCACGTCCCCCACGTGGATAGGGCTGTGCGCCTGTTTATTGGACACATGCCACTCTGCACCGCTGTGATAAGGGCCATACGTCTTAGCAGCTATGACCGCCATATGGTAGGCATTGTTCTTTGCATTGGCCTCAGTTCATTCTCATAACAACTCCGTGAGGTCCATGCAATTCATATCACCCCCATTTTACAGGGGAAGCAGCTAAAGGTGAAAGAACCGGCTTACCCCACAGGTCTAGGAAATGGAGGAGCTGGTCGGGGAATGACAAGGTGGGGATGGTGGCCTGGCTGGGCCAAGCAGCACAGAGGCCCAGCTATCAGCCTCGCAGAGTGGGCCGTGCCCATCTCCCACGGGGCTGTGTGCCCAAGGGAAGTGTCAGGGGAGGCACTGGCTGCTCCAGGCCCCTTCAGCAGCAGCTGCTGGTTCCCAGAGGTCAGCCCCGCCCACCAGGCAGCCAAGGCCCTTCCCTTCCCAGGGTTGCTCTGCCCAGCCTCTGGCTCTGCTGGGCAGGACCAGGGCTCTGGGTTGGATCCCTTGCCTCTCAAGCCTGCAGCCTCAGGCCTGTGCTCCTGCCGGCATCCAGGCTACTCCTGCATGATGTCTGTCCACCTTTGACCCCAGAGTTACACATGCCCAGCCACACCCTTCTGTCTCCACCAAGGTGGCACCACATTCCCAGAAGAAAGTAGACCAAAGGAGTCTCAGGATCCTCAAAGTTTAGGATCTGGTTTCCTCTCCCTGCTCATTTTATTTTACTTTATTTATTTATTTTATTTTTTTCAGACGGAGTCTTGCTCTGTCACCCAGGCTGGAATGCAGTGGCATGATCTGGGCCCACTGCAACCTCTCCCTTTCAGGTTCAAGCGATTCTCCTGCCTCAGCCTCCCGAGTAGGTGGGACTTCAGGTGCCTGCCACCACACCCGGCTAATTTTTGTATTTTTAGTAGATACGGGTTTTCACCATGTTAACTAGACTTGTCTCCAACTCCTGACCTCAAGTGATCCGCCCGCCTCGGCCTCCCGAAGTGCTGAGATTACAGGCATGAGCCACCGCGCCTGGCCCCTGCTCATTTTAGAGATAGGAAGGCATGCTGGGAGGACAAGAGATTGGCCAGAGTCCCGCGAGTGGAGCAAAGCAGGTGGAATTCTCCGGGCTGGCCTGGGTGCTGTGGCCTGGGAGGTGAGGGACAGGTTGAGGGGTGGCGTAAGCAGCAGACTGCGTGCAGAGCTGGGCGTGGTATAGCTGCAGGGGTGGCTGGAAGATCCCTGAAGGCAGGGTGAGATGGAGGGGTGGGCCTTTCCAGGTGTGTGTGGCACTCCCCACCCCTGCCTGACTCCCCTTGATCCTCCTATGACAGACTCCCCGAGGCCCCCACTCCCTCCACACTGGGGCAGGTGCCCTTCCTGGCCGCCCTTCACCTGCAACACTTAACATGTGCACAATCTTGCCCTGAGCCCTGAGGGCCC